GCTTTGTGATCCTGGGCCAGTCACTCAACCTCTCAGTGTTCCAGGCAACTCTACTAAGACAAGGGGCAGCTAGGTGGCTCAGTGGACAGAGCTCCGGCCTCGGAGTCAGTTCAAATCCGACCTCAGACATTTGACACTTACCAGCTGAATGACCCTGGGCAATTACCTGCCAAGAAAAGGGCAAAAAACAAGACTATAAATTGCAGAAAAGGCAGCAACCTACATTGGTAGAGAGAGTGTTCTTATCTTGGAGATTCTTACACCAATGAAATCACAGATCAGGTCCCTATTCCCACTTAATGGACAATGAAGCTGAGGCTCAGAGATGAAATGATCTGCTCAGTTGCTCAGCTAGTGAGGATCAGACGGAGGATCCCATCCTCGGCTTGCCATTCCTCCTTACTTCGGTGTGACCTGGGCCTCAACTTCTTCAGCTGTAAAGTGAGGGGGCTGAACCAGATGATCCCTTCCAACTCAGCATCTGTGATCTTAGGATTCCACCAATGCTATTTGCACCATATTACATTGCCTCTAGGAAAGCAAATAAAGCATTCTTACTCTCTACTAATCACTTAAGTTAATTGATCTATCAGTCAAGAATACTGACCAAACACCCCTAATGTGCAAGTTACTGCACTACTCTGTAGGAAAACAGATTTTTGAAAGTCTTCAGTTGGTTTCCATTTGCAAAACCTTACAAGATCTTTCAATCTGAAAGACCAAATTCAGTTAGTTTTAATGTGCAAATAAAGAAATTAAGCAGATATGGATTTTAAAGAAGATCGTCTAGTTAGGAAGAGAAAGCAAGATTCTGTCCTAATATAGGAGAAAAACTCAAAACAGTTTGTTAATAGCTAAATATTTGTACTTATCAATGCCTGGCATGTATAAGTGCTTAATAAATGTTTTTTCTTTAGTTCATTCAAACTATACACAAAAACTAGTACAGTTATCCCTTCCACACTGTGACTGGGTTTCAATATATCATGTGGCAGCATAAGAAATTAAATGGGAATTTTGGGCGAGTTCTGTGGAAACCACAGATGACACACAAAGGCCAGCAGATGATACAGAGCCTATGAACAAATGCTTAACACAAATTTTACAATAATTACTATAAACACCCCATAAAAGAAAAAGAAAAATTCAAATTTCTCTGGTATAGAGGGCCAAAAAATTTTACGTGAATTCTCCACAGTGCTGCACCACTAACCCCCTCAATGTGGAAGGAATAACCATATAGTGGTGTTTCCATTTCAAAGCAGTAACTATACTAGTCTTTCAGACATAACTACGTAAGTGCCCAGAGAATGCCCAGCAGCTATGATGAAAGTGTATACTGGCTGTGTCCCAGTCTCCCCAGCCTTCTTCAAGACTCAGCTCAAATCCCACCTTCTGTCAGGAGGCCTTTATGGGTCTTATCTCCCCAGCTCCTAACGTCTTCCCTCTGGAACTGCCTTCCATTTCCACTATATAAATCTTGCACGTTATTTGCAGGTTGACTTCTCCATTAGAATGTCAGCATTTTGAGGGCAAGGACGCTGTTTTTCCCTTTCCTTGTATACTTACTACTTAGCATAGTGCTTAGAATATAGTAAGCACTTAATAAATCCTTGCTGACTGATTAACTATTCAAAAACCTTCGACTGTTCCACGATACTGCCTACCCAATAAACTTAATTCTGGCACTGAATGCCATCTAGTGTCTGGCTCTAATCTAGTTTCCAACCTTAGCTGAGGTTACTTCTCATCCTTACTCTGCTTTATAGACAAAACTAACTGGTCCCCATTCCCCATCATCATCCTGCCTCCTTGTCTCCTGTGCCTGTCCTTTCCCCATTTCAGAAGCTGAAATTCACTGGATGTCGACCGATCAGCAAGGCCTAAGGCTGGATCCCCCAAATGGAGCTAGCAATGGCAGGAAGGTAGATTCTAGACCCACGATACCAGAAGGACAGTGAGCTTAGAGAACTATATCTGGATCCTTTGCACTGTAGCAAAAAGCCTCCATTCTTAATAGGTGCCACTTCTATAAGGCCTACTTTCATTCATTCCTTCATTCATTCATTCATTCATTCATTCATTTATTTATTTATTTAGGCTAAGCAATGGGGTTAGGTGACTTGCCCAGGGTCACACAGCTAATAAGTGTTATGTGTCTGACGAAGGATTTGAACTCAGGTCCCTGAATCCAGGGCCAGTGCTCTATCCACTGCGCCACCTAGCTGCCCCAAGGCCTACTTTTATATATGAAGGCCATTCGTAACTAGGTATACTCAAACTAAGCCTGTTTAGGTCAAACATTCATTCTTATTTTTAAGCAGATTATAGTAGTGCTACATATTTGTTTTCTCACCAGAGAACTGAAAATATATGGGAATCAGGATTTATTACTATTGTTTATGTGGTTAAAAATTTATATTTCTTCCTTTGAAGTCCCCCAGGGTTCACAAAACACTCTCTGATTCACTTAACTATGACTTTGTAATGTAGTTAATTGTGTACACATCATAACCCCACTCAACTGTAAGCTCTACAAACAGGGGCCATGTCTTATCTAAACTCTGTACTGCCCCTAATACCTAGCATAGAGCTTTTCACTCAGGAGGTGTTTAATAAAAGTGGGTTGAGTTGAAAACTTATTTCTTCACTAAGGTTAAGTCTTCCCAAAAGCAAAAGGTAAAATATTCTTTAGGAGAGAAAATACAATATAGTATACTATAAAGGCACTTTACTGGTCCTTTAATGGACCACTTCAAAATAATATCAGAGACACAGCAGCCAGGGTGGTGCAGTGTATAGAGAACTGGGAGTAGTCAGGAAGACCTGAGTTCAAATCCAGCCTAAGATACATACTAGCTGTATGACTTTGGGTAGGTCACTTAACCTCTCTTTGCCTGTTTCTTCCACTGTAACATGGAGATGATAATAATAGAACCTACCTCTCAGGGTTGTTGTAAGGATAAAATGAGATATCTGTGAAGTGCTTAGCATAGTACCTGGCACATACTATGCACTATACAAATGCTAACTATCATTATCTTTTTTACTACTACATGTCAATGCAACAGAACAATATCACTCAACAGAGCATTAAAAGCATTGGCTAAATATCTCTGTGTAAATAACCATGAGCAAAAAGATCTCATTTCAAACCATGGTCATTCATCCAATTTCAGTTTTGATTACTTAATACCTATTACTACTGACCTTAGGCATTTGTCTAACCTGCCTACGCTACCCTTTTTAGCTATCTAATCACAATATTAATCTCTCAACTACAGGCAATATAGTTTCACAACCAATGGTTACCATTTTACCAGATTTTACTGGGATGATTCCCTATGTTGCTACAGGATGACCAAAATAATACCAAATAGCTTTTTTAAAAAGAGGATTGTGTTTATTAAGAACTGCTACCTTTAAAAATAACCCAAGTATCAAAAATTCAAAGGACTTGCCCTCAAATCACTAAGCACTTATTGTCTACTGTGTGAAAAGCACTGTGTCAAGACAGATCTATAGCCTAGTATTCTTAGAAAAATACAGAAGTGACCTACACTCATTTGTGAATCTATCCAGCTGCTTTTGAGACAGATGCAGTTTGTATCTTGACTCCTGCTCACAGAAATGTCTTTGGCAGGCAGAGTGATGTAAAAAAAGAGAGCCTTGGAGCATATTTCTACCACGTCACTATATCAAGAAATCAACTACCATGCATTTCTCATGCATGTGCATGGCACCGGGGACATAAAAATGAAATAGTCCCTGCTCTGAAGAGGCTCACTTCCTCTCAGGGGAAACAGCATGTACACAAATAATTAAACATAAGGTAATTTTGTGGGCAAGCATTTGAGCTACATGTTGAAAAAAGGCAGAATGAAGAAGCAATGTGTTTTGGACCAAGAGTATGCAAATGTAAGGGAACAGGAGACAGAACATTGTGTGAGAGCAGCAAACATGCAAGCGTGCATAGATCCTAGAGTGGTGCGAAAGGGAGTAACATGAAATGATAACGTGCCACGTGACATATATGTGTCTTATAATGTGTCAAAAGTCTGGGATGAAGAACTTTAAATGTCAAGGAATTTGCATTTTAACTCAGAGCAAGGATTTCCCACCCTTCTTCTGCCATAGGCCTCTTTGACAATCTGGTGAGACCTGCAGACTCCTTTTCAGAATAGTGTTTTTAAATAACTGAAGAAAGTGCTAAATCTCAGCTAAAGGTCAGTGAAAATAAAGACAGAAATGTTTTGCCATCTTCGTCTACAAATCCCCTGAAATCTATCCGTGGAGCCCTATGGCGAGCTCAGACCCCAAGTTAAGAACCGCTGCCCTAGAGGCAATAGGCCTCAGAGCTGAGGCGTGACAGGGTCAGACCTGTTCTTCAGGAAGGTCACTTTGGCAATTGTGTGGAGCATGAATTGGAAAGGAAGAACAACAGGTATTTGGACGTGTTATTTTGCCTCTATATTATCATGTGTAAACTTTACACATGTGGGGATTAGCGTCAATGGTCTCCAAGGTCTCTTCTACTTCTTGTTGTCCAACTCTTCATGACCCTATTTGGGGTTTTCTTTTCCTTCTCTAGCTCATTTTTTACGAATGAGGAAACCGAAGCAAACAGGGTTAAGTGACTTGACCAGGGTCACACAGCTAGTGTCTGAAGCCAGGTTTGAACTCAGGAAGATGAGTCTTCCTGATTGTAGGCCTGGTACTCTACCCACTGAGCCAACTAGCTCCTTCCAGTTCTAATATTCTATAATCTCATCTTATTACCTTCTGTGATTTGGAATGAGACTTTTTTTCCTTCAGGGAGATCAAATTTCTAGTCAAAATTTATAACCACTTCCTAGTGAATAGGGTTTTTGGAGTTTTTTGGACTGAAAGCCCCTAGGGCAAGGGCATCAACTGCATGAGTGACAAGAAGTCACTGATCGCTTCCTGACTCACTGGCAGCCCAAACACTTCTGCGTACGCTGATATTGACACCATTTTTATAAAATGAAAGTTTATTAAAAGTAGATGTTTCCATACAACCATTTTGAGCAAAAAAACCAAAGCAGTGGGAACTACAAGATGCTGCTTCCTTTGTTTGCAATAACCATGTACAGGCTATATGAAAAATGCACAAGAGCATATTTAATGAATAATGTACTGAGGGTATGATACCTACAAATAGTACTATTAGTATCTAACCACTGTACGTAACAAAGGAATAACTTTGCCCTTCCCGCCCTGAGATATGGGACCTTTTTCCCCCTGATGGCTGACAAGATAAAAAACAGGGACTAAGTATCCAGAATAGAATGGCTAAAGAGGCCCTGCTGCTATCTACCTACAGGGACAATCTTCTGTCAGGCTAATTCCCCAATCATCAGGCTTTGTTTTTCTTCCCCAAATTTACTGGCCTTTCCACTCTCACCACCTATTTCTTCTGACCAGGGGTTCTCACCTTATATATGTTGCAAAAGCATTGTACATAATGCCTGGAATGGTACCTGGCATGGTACCATGGTACCTGGTACTTAATAAATGCTTATTAATTAAAGAAACAGAGGGCAGTCTCCCCTATACAAATGTTTTAATGTTATCTAAGGGTTTTTGTTATTGTTGTTGCTTTTTACTAATAATGAAGGTTTGTTGGTATATTAGTAAATAAAAAGGAGGTCAGCCAGGGTATAATAAGCTTCTTCCCATAGGTATTCCCTCTTTGCTTTCTTCAAAGAACAGGTGTCTGGGTTAGGGGGAGAAGCTAGCCTAGAGGCTCTCTACTGCTAAGGTTAGTACTGAAACCAGGGGAGGTAATGGCAGTACCAGAAGCCAAGAGAAGAGCTGTGGAGGGAGGGTCACCTCCACTATCCCGTCACCTGACTCCACCCTGGACCACTCTTGAGTCAGGTGAAAAACAAAGAGTTGAGATCTAAATGAGAACAAGTCCAGGAAGGAGCGAGAGGAAGGGGAAGAGAGAGAAGAAAGAAGGAAGGCCCAAAGGCTTCCTCCTCGGAGTCATTCCACACCACACAATGATCAGAAGAAAGTCCCTAAGACAGGTTTACCTGTTCCACATTAGTTAAGGTGAAGCTGACTGTAATGAACACTGCCCAACTGCATTCTCAATGGTGTCAGTGTGCTTGACCCTTAGCACTTCGGCAAACCCATCACCAAACCAGCAAGTGATATGTGCCGTGTCCATCGAAAAATAGAAAAGACGGTCCTGACAATGTTTCCTTCGATACACAGATCGGGGATCAGCTGCTAGTACGTCAATAATGGCACACTTCGCCTCTTTCACTGATCGAAAATATTTAAATGAAGTTATATTGACACCTGAAATGTAAAGAACACATTAAAATTTTTTAAAAACTCATCTATACTTTGAAATCACATGTAGGTCAAATTTCATTGTAATGAACTTCAATTTTATTGTACTAAATAGCTCTCAAAATAAATGCGCTGCCATCTGGAGCTTAGATATCTTAATCACAGAGATTTTCCACTCAGTTCAACAGGCATCTATTACATGTGCCAGGCACTATGCTAGGCGCCTCTACAGACAACTGTACTCGCTGCTATGCAGTAATTATAGCCTTCTTCCCTGAAACAAAGCATGACATTTTCTTTTCTGAGTGATAAGATGGGGACTTTTATTTGTTGCTAGCCTTACAATACTAAATATCATACAACTAATAATAAATAGTTAGCATTTATATAGTGCTTTAAGGTTTTCAAGGCACTTTACAAATATTATCTCATTTCTGATCCAAGATAATTCCAAAGGACCCATGATGAAAAATGCTATCGACCTCCAGAGAGAGATTTCATGGAGTCTGACTGCAGATTGAGGCATACTTTTTTACATTTCTTGCTTTTCCTTATTTTTTTTCAACATGCCTAATATGGAAATATGTTTTGCATGATTTCACATGTACACCTGATAGCATATTCCTTGCCTTCTTAAGGGGTGGGGGAAGAGAGAGAGGGAGAGAATTTGGAACCCAAAATATTTTAAAATGAATGCCAAAATAAAGTATCCAAAAAAACCCAACTAAACAATGTTATCTCATTTTATTGTTACAAAAATCCTGGGAGGTAGGTCTTGTTATTATCCCCATGTTACAGATAAGGAAACTGAGAAAACACAGGTTAAGTGACTTGCCCAGAGTCACACAGTTAGTAAGGATCTGAGGATGGATTTTAATACAGGTCTTCCTGATTCCAGGTCTAGAGGTCTATCGTCTGCAATCAGCAGATGCCTACCAAAGACTACTGAACGAAACTCTCACCCAGTCATCCACTAGGACCTAATCAGTACGAGCATCTTGCCACCTGCCTGGCTACTGTTGGAAATAACCTCTGGTGCCCAAACAGACACAGTAAGTTAGACAGACTCAGGATGAGTGAAGCAGTTGAAACCTTTAATATGCTTCCTGCAGAAAGTGGGCTGGAACTTGAGATGAGCACATGTGCACACGTACACGTACACAGATACACACAAACACACACACTCTCACACTACAGAATTGAGAGCAAACCTTGTATCGCTATTCCTGGCTGCAAGTCCCTCCTAGCTGACTTTCATTGGTAGAAGTCACCACAGGTCAATGACTTCTCGAAATGCCTACCACATGTTCCCTTGGTATGTTTTTCCCACCTCTTCATACATCACATGTTTAGAAAACGGCATCTTAACCCCACCTGGAGGTGGAGAAGCTAGTATTCATGAGACTATTAAGCATGGGCACTCTAAGTAAAGCTTAACCTTTGTCCTACTTCCAGCCTCTTTAATCAAACAACCAGTTTCCACCCAATTTTAGCTAGTTCTTGAAGCTCCTGACCCAAGGCTACTTTCCTTTCAGTTTCCTTATATGGCACTTACTTCTCACACTACTGTGCCCTTGTCCCCAAACCAAAAACAGCTTCTATCCCTGATTTTCCGTCCCTGATAAGCTGAATCAATCCATTCAACTTTGGGACTCCTCCTCAGGGCAGAGTTGTCCAGTTTGGAATTTGAGCAAAAACTCATCTAATACCCTAGATTGAGGAGGCCCAAGATCACGCTTCATATCTCATCTAGTCATCCACGAAGACACCAAGGGCTTACTCAGCCCAGCATGGATGTACTCACCTGCCTCCAGCAGTCCTGTGAACAACAGTCAAAGTGAGTGACACTATTACTACAGAAAAACAAGTGATCATCCTAGTAGCTCCACCAGTGACTTTCCTGTGACTGCCCTGCTTCCCAAGCTATGAATTTTGTATTCTCTACCCCACCCCAACTAGAAGGCAAGCTCCCTGACGGCAAGGATGGGGGAAGAGGGAGTGCCATCATTTATTTCCCTAGCCCCAGAGCCAAGTATTCATTAAGCACTTAATAAAAGCTTGTTGATTGATTGCTTACAGCTGCCCTGACAATCCCTTAGGGCTTCCAGCAATAGGAATATATGGAATCCTAAACAGGGAAAGCAGCGGCCAGCATTTCAACAAATGCATATCCTAAAAGAATACTATACTACCCAATACTTCCATATTTTTCTTTCCAGAAAACCACATTGATAAATGCCTCAAACAAATTCCTTATAAAATGGACTCTAAAAATATTACCCTTTGGGGTTTTTTTTTTAACTTTTTAATTTTTTTTTTAAGGCAGTTGAGGTTAAGTGACTTGCCCAGAGTTACACAGTTGGTGTCAAGTGTTTGGTCTGAGGCTGGCTTTGAACTCAGGTCTTCCTAACTTCAGGACCAGTGCTCCATCCACTGCGCTACCTAGCTGCCCCTACTCTTTGTTATATGCCTAACAAAAACACTTCACAACTTTCAAAAGTGAGAAAAGGAGACCTGAAGGAACTAATTTTGTCCTAAGGAGATACATGGAGCAACTAGGTGGAGCAGTGGAGAGAACAACAGCCCTGGAGTAAGAAGGACCTGTGTTCAAATCTGGCCCCACACACTTACTAGCTGTGTGACCCTGGGCAAATCATTTACCCAACTGCCTCCAAAAAACAAACAGAAAAAGAAGAAGAACATACCTGTACTATCTTCTGAACTAAAGTGTTCAAGATCCATTTCCGCATGAGGTGTAAAGCGGACTTCTAAAGTAGTCACAGGAGAATCTTTCACCCAGGATGGAACACAACTGGCAGAGGACGAGACACCCATGCTAGAAGCATGCCGAGTCTCTGAGCTCTTTTCTTGTGTGGTTGCATCTCCTTCCACTACACTTAACCTGTCTCTACCTTCCTTTGGCCGAGGAAGGTCAATCTGGCCTCCATCTCTACTTGAACTCTGATTTGTTCTTGTTTCTAAAACACAATCTGCTGTTGTGCTCCTGCATTTACTTAATGGACATTTCATTTCTGCTGAGTCTTTATCTTTCAAATATTTTTCTTCTGCTGTCTGGTCTTCAGGTTGGTTCCCCTCTGTGGTGTGGTACTGAGGCCTGAAGCCCTCTGTTCCTTGCTGCGGCTCACAAAGACCAGCTGTGTGGACCGGGTGAGGCCACTCTCTCTGTTTCCTTTCTTGGAAGTTGAGCTCATCTAAAGGTTCCACCAGATCCTGCGGCGAGTCATAGTCAGCTATATATGGTTTTATGTCCAGAACAGGTGTACCATTTATCATGTCAACTCCAGAGAGGTATATGGCTCCTCCTAAGATGTTTTACAAAAAAAAAGGGGGGGGGAATCATCTTAAAATTTCCATAACTAAAGAAAAACAAATTGTCCATTCAAACAAATAGCAGTCAAAATCACATTTTTAAAGACGCTAATGCCCAAAAGAGCTCAAAATATTAATCAGAAAGCTAGTTACAACAGCAAAAAATTAAGTGCTGGTGACCAAACAATGCTTAGCATACTGTCCGGTGCACAGTAGGTGCTTAATAAATGCTAGCTGAATAACTGACTTACTGAGGAAGAGGGTATACTTGCAGCTTTCTCACCATTCACAACCACTCAAGCAGGGAATCTTCTACTACTAGTATTTAGCAGATAGGAAAATTCCATTCTCTCCTGTCCTCATGAGGACCTTAATTAAAAGGGAACCCAAAGAATCACAAATGTAAGAAGCTGAATTAATTTGACATTTGACAGGTGGTTCCTTTTGTTTCTGCCCTATTGATATCTAACAGATATTATCTGTGAATTAATTAAGAGATGTCAAGAATATAATTTAGAGCCTCTTACAGATATATCAGTGAATAGAGCATTGGGCCTGGAGTCAGAAAGACTCATCTTCCTGCGTTCATCTGGCCTCACGAGACACTTACTAGCTGTGTGACCCTGGGCAAGTCACTTCACCCTGTTTGCCTAGTATCCTCAATTGTAAAATAAGTTGGAGAAGGAAATGGCAAATCACCGCAGTATCTTTGTCAAGAAAACTCCAAATGAGGTTACAAAGAGTCAGACATAACTGAAAACAATAGAACAACGGTTTTCAGTCCCTTTCCTCGGCATATGCTATTGTCTCTCATCATTACTGTATTTCTTTTATTCAGCCTTGCCAAAAATAAAGCAGCTCTATTATTAAGATATTCAGACATGCCACTTATCCAGAGTGGACTAAGGAAAAAGTGTTAGCCCAAAGCAGATATGACCCACTAATGACCATCACGAAGTTGTATTTGATGTTACTTTCAAATTTCTGCTAAATGGCTTTAAGGACTGGTTTGCTTATTCTCCAAAATGATGATAATGATCTTTGGTTTTCACGAATACAGAGAGGGACTGGACCTGTGATTCCACTGCTGTAGGGAACTCCTGGTGAAAAACTCCTCTACCAACGTAAGGCAACACCTTCTTTGAAACTGAAGAGCCTCTGGGGCAGCTAGGTGGCGCAGTGGATAAAGCACCAACCCTGAAGTCAGGAGGACCTGAGTTCAAATCCAGCCTCTGACCAAATAGTTGACACTTACTAGCTGTGTGACCCTGGCAAGTCACTTAACCCCAACTGCCTTAAAAATAAAAAAAACTTAAGGGTCTCTGAGAGTTGCTGTGAACACTCAGATGGTAAGAAATTTGCTCAAGGTCAGACAGCCAGCATAGCAGAAGAGGACCCTGAGCCTGGGTGGTTTTAGTCCAAGGTCAGCTATCTACCCACTATGCCACCCTCCTCTTCATGCATTAAAAACACTATTTTTGACTCTATGGGAAAATCATCATTAGAGATGGAAAGAATTACAACTAGCAATCTACAAGTGCTACATGCTAGACCCAGAAAACTAAACAGTCCAGCTGTATTTTAATCTCTTTGTTTCTATAACTAGTTTCTGACATCAAAAGTTCACAGAGCAATCTGATATTTGAGAAAGAGGAAATAATATTCATTAGCTGTTCATTGCTAGATCTAGACCAGAAAGCTGCATTCCTACAAATTTACTCTCTTAGCTTCCCCAAAAGATACCTTCATTGAGTTAAGATTTGATTTTATACAAGTCCAAAATACAACACACACTCAAAGAACATTCAGTATCATTCACAAAAACAGAGTCGAAGACACCTCCCATTTTGTCCCCCAAGGCCTCTTATGTTACGTATCTACATGATAAACCCCTCACAGAAAATGCCAGGAAGCCCTCTAGTTGGTTGTCTGGTAAAGCCAAGGGACCCCTTTCAAAATAATGCTATAAAATGCACAGATTACAAAGGAAACCAATGATATTGAAATACAGTTCTAAGAATATCTATTTAAAAACAAAACAAGTTCATGGACGCAAGGTTAAGAAATCCTGCTTTTATGGAAACTTTTCTGACTTCTTTTATCAGATAATAAGAACTACATAAAACATAAACTATAAACGATATAAAATGCCTTTGCTTTTTTGCCTTAACTGGCAGGAAGCTCAGCAGCAGATTCAACAGTAGAATCTCATAAAAATGACAGATTTAGAAACAGAAGTGACCTTGGAAACCATCTAGTTCTGCCCTCCCCTCTTACACATAAGGTAGGGGAGGCCCAGAGAGATTCATCAACTCGCCGAGGTAATGCATGTAGTGACAGAAGTGGGGTTTGAACCGAGGCCCTCTGGTTCTAAAGTCAGCATTTTATTTCCCACTGAATTTCAGGTGCTCAGTATATACACTTCTCTTCTCCTTTGAAACTTTTTTTCTGTTTTTACCTTTAATTGTGTTTTATATGTGTTTAAACTTTCAAAGTTTCTCAAACTTTTTGGGAAGCAAACAGGGAATAAAAATATTATTAAACAAATAAAAATAGTCCCCAATAGTGTATGTCTCTCAGCATTTGTTACATTCTCAGCTACAGAAAACCTTATAACAATGAAGACATAAAATGTTATTGCTTCATACATGATCAACTCCTACAGAAAATGGCTTGTGTCCTGAAGAGAGAAAACAAGAGAACTCAAGCAGTAAAATTTAGGAAAAGATTAGCCAATTTTTTCCAATATGATAACATTAAAAATAAACTGGGTGATAATACATTACATTTTTATATATATAATATATATTTTAATATATATTATATATATATACATTTCCATAGTACTTTAAAGTTTAAAAAATGTTTTCCTTGCAACAACCTAATGAGATAAAAAATGAGAGTATCATAAGCCCCATTTTAAGGGTCTGAAAACTAAGCTGAGAGATTAAATGACCTGCCCATGATCCCACAGCTAGTAAGTGTCACGGTCGAATCCAAGTCTCCACTGCCTCCAAGTCCAGAGCTTGTTTTGTTACCCCACACCACCAAGAAGGATAAACACAACATGGTTTTGTCTTTAGAGCTAAACACAGAAGAAGACTGATATAATTATCTGTAAATTCAAGGCGTGTTTTAATTATGTAAATAAAATAAAGATTGCCCTTTTAGTTATTTGATTGTCTCAAAATTATGCTTATTGAGAAGTTAACTGGATATTGTTTTGACACGCTTCTTTCTGCTGGGATTAGGAATGTAAAAAAGAATTAAATGTCACCTTCCACTTTGTCCAGCTTGGCAAGAGTAAGTCCAATGGCATTAGGGCGATGGGGACTCCTTGTGGAGAAGATTCCAGTCTTTGTACCATTCAACCGAGGAGGCTGCACTTTCGCCTTACAACTCAAATGACCATTTTTATGAAAAACAAACAAAATCCTGCCGGAAAAGCCCAGAATCACTTAGCATGGAAAAAAAAGAAAGTAACGTTTTGAAAACATAAAACAAACACACAAATTACTCCCCAAATAATGATGTCATTAAGTGTAAAATTTAACATAGACTTTATAACTTACTTTTAGAGTGAGAATCACTGAAAAGTGACAATAGTATAAAAAAAGCAACTAAAAACATTTTCTTTTTAAAAGAAAGTAAATTTAAACTTTCAGAAGGAAAAGAATTTTTATTTAAGCTACAGTCTTCACCAATACTCACCCATCTAATTAATAGAGTCAGGCTATTAGGGAGAAGAGGGGAGGGAGGAGTAGATAGAGATGTCTCGGTCTAAATAACAGAGATAGATATTAGTATAATTTCTCGTGGAAGAGATGTGATCTTAAAGTATGATACAATTTGTTAAAAGTCAATGTACAGCCGAAGCTGTCCCAGCTCCCAGGACACACTTTGGTTGATTCAGCATTTTACATTCGGGGCATCCAAAATGACAAACCTAACTGGCTGAAAGTTATACCAACCTTGGGCACTACTGCAGGCCTGTGGGCCTTCCTCCTCCACCAACATGAAGAAGATATTTTAGAGTATGAAACAAGAAAAGGTCTAGAATAAATTATTTGAATCTGCTTCTTTCCTAATTGTGTGCTGTAAGAAGTGATGACAGCCAGTTTGTGGATCCATTGAATAATATATCAGAAAAACAACTTGTGTTAGGATTTCTGTATAGTATCACAGAACGTACAAATAAAAAGTTATCTAAAAAAGGATATCTGCCCACTTTTCAGGTTATATACATCCTATCAACTTGTAGAAAAGTCATTTTGGAACCAGTATTTAATCCAATTGTACAGATGAGAAGGACCTTACTTACATATGAAAGGCATTAACACAGATAAGCAAATTACAAATTTCAATAAAAACTAATAATAATGCCCCCCCTCAAAAACATAAAGTCAATGTATTTTCCAAAGTAACCAATTATTTATTCCCTAGCAAATTCTGGACATAAAAATCTACTACCAGTGATTAAACAACTTACCAAACATGTGAAAACTGTTCTAAGCCCAGGACGGAATGTTCAGGATTGTTAAAGACACTTTTTCTTATCCTCAAACAAGCACGTGATAAACTGCAAATGGTTGGCTGCCTCGGTGTACCATTCTTGGCCGAGAAACATGACTCTATGTAACCAATTGGTTCAGTCAAAATATTACCTAGAGAAACAAAACAGCAAAAACAATTTTCTAATTTGGTGAGACAGCTGGGAGTGTAGTAGTTAGGATGTTAGACCTGAGTCATGAAGACTTGAATTCAAATCCTGCCTCAGACGAGTACTAGCCTGTGAACCTGGGCAAGTCCCTTAACTTTCTTCATCATCAGTTTCTTCATCAATAAAATGGGGATAGCACCAGCACCTATCTCACAGAGTCGTGGTGAGTATAAAATCAGATAACATGCAAAGTGCTTTATAAAACCTTAAAATATTACATAAATGCTAGCTAGTATCATCTTCAATAATAATCTAATAATATTCAACTAAAGGATCATAACAATAATACATACTGCTTTCTTGAGTTTTTTGGTTATAGCCAACTTTACTGCTCATTTCACAGATGACAAAACAGAGGCAAACAGGGTTAAGTGACTTGCTCAGGGTCACACAGCTAGTAAGTGTCTGAGGCTAAATTTGAACTCAAGCCTTCCTGACTCTAGGCTCATTGCTTATCTACTGAGCCACCTGAAAAATCTAAAAGAAAATTATAAGTAGTATATTAAAGCACAATGGGGATCACAACACATTTTTTTTCCTTGTTGAAAAGGGCTTAAGGAACAAAAAATGTTGAGAACCACTGATCTAGTCCAACCCTTTCATTTGAAGAAACTAAGGCCCAGAAAGGTTAAGGTTAAAGAGGTGGTCCATTATACCTACCTCATTTTCCATGGAACTTCAGGTCTTCACCCTCTTCTCCCCACCCCCCATCCCCAACCCAGGATGCTCTTCCCCATCCCCCTTTTTCAGCTTCTTTTTATGTGTTGTTCTCTCCCATAAGGCTGTGAGCACCTTGAGATCACGACCTGTCTTTTGCCTTCTTTGTATCCCCAGTGCTTAACAAAATGCCTGGCACAGATCAGATGCATATTAAGTGTTTAATGACTGATTGAACGATTAAGTGACTTGCCCAATGTTACAACACTAAGACAAGAACTCAGATCCATTAAGTCTCCCTCCATGCTCTTGTGGCCATACCTAATTTTCCCTATATAGGCTGCCATTAATCTATTAATTTTTCTAAGGCTTTCTGTAATCTGTTTATGTTTTATACAGACAACCTCAAAATAAATCCCATCTTTATAAATGCATAAGACAAAAATCTCCCAAATCAAAAACCTTTATAAAAGGAAGTTTCATTCACATTTATTTATTTCTGTTTCAGTTCCTGTACCCAAAGTTCTAGATTAACATGGTACCTATGAGCCTAGAGGCCATAATAATAATAACAGCTAGCATTTATATAACAGGTAGGTGGATCAGTGGACAGAGTGCTAGGCCTGGAGTCAAGTAGACCTGAATTCAAATCCAGCCTCAGATACTTACTAGCCATGTGACCCTGAGCAAGTCACTTAACCCTATTTGCCTTAGTTTACTCATCTGTAAAAAAAGAACTGAAGAAGAAAATGGCAAACCGCTCCAGTATCTTTGCCAAGAAACCCCCAACCGGATCACAAAGAGTTGGACACAAATGAACAACAAAAATTCATATAACACTTTAAGGTTTGCAAAGCACTTTACAAAAAAATGATCTTATTTTATCCTCACAACAACACTGAAAGGTAGATGATATTATTATCCCCATCTTACAGAAGTGGGAACTAAAGTAAACAGCAGTTAAGTGACTTCCCTGGAGTCACACAACTAATAAGTGTCCTGTGCTATGTGCCTTCATGACCATCACACCCAATTTCCATGGCATGAAGAAAAGAGCACTAAGCTGTGCTGGACTTACAGACAAGGCTCAAGTCCCAGTATTGCCAAGACTTTGCATGACCTTGGGTAAAAAATTAATTTCTCTGGGACTATTTCCTAATCTATAACATGAGTGATGAACTAGGGGAGACTTCTAAGGTCCCTACCAGTGATAACAGTTTCACAGAAGCAGCTCACTGACTTGAAGAACTTGAAGGAGCCTAAGAGATTACTAGGAGTCCAAACCCTCATTTTCCACTCTCAGATAGTTGATTGTTTTTCCTGTTATCCCCAGTTCTCAGCACAGTGCCTCCAACATAGTAATGACAATAATATACATTTATATATATATATATATATATATATATATATATATATATATATCATATAACATAAATATGCTATATAGATAGACAGTACTTTAAGATTTGCATAGCACTTTACATGTTAATTCATTTGATCCACAGAACAATTCATTTAACAGATGAGGAGACAGGTTAAGTAATGAGAAAGATTAAGTGACTTGCCCAACTATAAAATGCCTGCGGCAGTATTTTTACTCAAAGTCTTTCACTCTACTCACCGAAACCACCAGGTAAGCATTCAATATATGCTGTTGATTGACAAAGTTGCTGATCACCTCCAATCTACATATACACATATATACACACATACATACACCTTTGACTTTCCACCTAGTTCTGATTTATTCCATTTGCTTTATTATTATTGTTTGCTATTATTTCTAATGTGCTTCCAGCGCTAAATCCTGGTGGCTAGGGGGTTGGAGTGGGGGAGGGACATGGAGTGAGTAAGACCCAAGTTCAAACCTGCCTCAGCTACATACTAGCTGTAAGAGCCCGGGCAAGTTACTTAACCTTGCCGTGCCTGAGTTTGCCATCCGTAAAATGTGAATAATAAGAGCACTTCACAGGGTTGTTGTGAGGTTAAAATGGGATAATATATGGGCACTATATAATGAGTTTGAGAATCAAATGAGTTAACACGTTAGTGGTATATAAAAGCTGGCTTTACGGGCACCATCTAGAGCTTAGCTGAGGATCCTGGTGCAGATGAGCCGATTCCAATAACGGGGGGGGGGGGGAGAGAAAGAAGGAAGAGATGATTTGGGGATGATTTCCCCTCAGCCATTGTACCCACCCTTACCCACACCCCAGTCTTTTCTATACTCTTCAAGCTGGGGTGACCACGGGGGTAAAAATGATTAACATTCTAATTCACTGATTCTATTCTAATTCACCATTCATTCATCACAACAGATGGCTTCCATTAACTGTAAGGAAACAGGTGCGAGAGAGAGGAGGGGGGAGGGAGAGATGTTCTCCAAAATAAATTCCTAAGGTAAAGCAAGCGCCCAGGAGAGAATCTACTATCTGGAGGAAATCCCGCAGGGGAGAAAACGCTGCTCATGTGACCGCTCTTCACGTGACTTCCCGGCACGTGACCTTCCTCCAATAAAGAATCCCTGAAGTTACCTGTTTCTAAAGCCGGTTTCATGCACCCACAGGGGGTCGAGGCGGGAGGGGTCCTAGGCTCTTCGGAACGCTGCATGGTGTCAGTCACCTCGGCCTGCTTTAGAGATTAAAACACGACAAAACTAAAGATGAGGACGACAACTACAAACGCCCGGTTCCGAGCCCAGCAAGATATCCTCGCAGCTTGCCGGGCCCACAGACCCTGACCCCAGCGGCGCAGAGCATTGGCTGCAGTCCCGCGCCTGCGCAGAGGAGGTGGGGGAAAGGGGAGGGGGAGGGTCCTTGCGCGGAGCGCGCATGCGCGCGGCCAGTCCAAGGGCTCAGGAGCCGCTGCTGCTTTTCTGTTGGCGTAGCTTCCCTCGGTCGCTAAGGCTGCCTCCGCCCTCCGGCGTCCGCCGCCCTCCGAGGACAGGTTCACCCGCGGACAGCGCCGAAGATCGGTTGGGGCTTGCACGCACTAGTCCCAGGTATCGTTGCGGGGAGCGGCTTGCCGGCCTGGGGCGCACACACCTGCGATCTGTGTCAGCTTGTCTAGGCTGGGCCTGGGCTGGAAGGTCCCCCGGGGGAAAGTGTCGCGGAGCGTGGAGCCGCCCCGCCGGGCGCCGGCCGGGAGGAGCCCCGCCCGGGCGGTTTGGCCGCTGACGCGGGGCACAGACCCAGGATTTGGGGACACACAGCGTGTGATAGCAGGTTAAATGTTATCCTCGCAGACGTTATGTCCTTTATTCAAAAATTTTGTGCTTCTGTCTTTAAAAAAAAAAATTCACTCCACCATCCACACCTAAGTGCAGTGATAGATACATGAGCGTGTTTGATTTTTTTTTAAAAAAAAGCACCTACTATGTGCCAGGCATTGCTAGACTGGAAAGACAAGTACAAAGAATGAAGACAGACCCTCCAGATTGTCCTAAAAATCTTAGTGCAGGTTTTAAGCTTTAACTTGAGAAGAAGAATAATAGCAAAGATTTATATGAGCACTATTGCGGGCCAGGCACTTTACAATGGTTACGTCATTTGATTTTCACAACCACCTTGGGAGGTAGGTGCTATTATTATCCCCATTTTACAGATGAAGAAGCTGAGGCAAGCTTAATTGATTTGCCTAGGGTCACAGAGCTTGTAAATATCTGAGGCTGTATTATAATAATAATAATAATAGCTAACGTTTATTTAGTGTTTACTATGTGCCAGACACTGTTCTAAGCCATTTACAATTATTACCTGATTTGATCCTTACAACAACCTAGGAGGTAGGTGCTATTAATATCCCCATTTTACAGATAGGGAATCTGAGGCAAACAGGTTAAGTGACTTGTCATGAGTCATAGAGCTGTAAGTATGTGAGGTCTGGGTTTGAACTCAGGTCCTCTTGACTCCAAGCCCAATGCTTCTATCCACTATAACTAACTTAGGGGAAAAATATTATTTGAAAATTTAATTATTTATATTTCTTTTGTGATTATTTAATTTTGAATAATAAGTTTCTAATTTAAATTTTTTGTTTCAGTCTCTTCAATTGAGGATAGCAAATATTGAAGAAAGTCAACTGCATTCTCTGGTTGGCTGAACTCAAGTCCACAACAGCAGTAAGAAGAAAATTCTACCTTCTTTTATAAGGAGGCTTCCCACAGGAATTTAATTAACAACTAGATAAAAAAATTAAAGGAACCTGGCTTATTTCAGTATAAATATAGATTTGGGAGACTCCAAGCAAGCAAAGAAACTGTGGCTGAAATTGAGAGAGCAACATTTGTATATGAAGCACAAGAAGGTGCATGTAGAATTTTAATAAGAAACATCAGTATTTTTAAAATTTAAATAACCTCCAATGTCACTTTTTTGTAAGTTTGTAGCAAGTATTCTTCTTAAGTTATTACAGCTAGATCATGATTACTGCAAGTTCAAATAATTCAGAATTCAGTTTTGTGCACTTATAAAATGAGAGCAATTGAATTGAATGTGAGCCAAAAATCAGTTGATGCAGCGTGTGCTAGTCAGAGGTTTTTACTTGCAGATATGTCATTCTGCTCTTGCCTGTCATAGTTTGCTGATGTAATTTGTTGCTGTGTACCATATTACCAGTAGTTGCATTAATTTTTTTAAAAAGCCCGTAACAAAATGGACAAAAGGAAGAAGACTTCAGATGGAAATGCTGCCAGTGTGAAAAAAAAGAGGCTTGTTATTACATTAGAACAAAAATGTGATGTAATTGAACGGCATGAACGTGGTCATAGTAACTCCAAAATAGGGCGAGATGTAGGAATGCCAGAATCTACAGTACGAAATATCATAAAACATGCAGGTGAAATTAAAAAAAAAGGCAAAGTTGCATCCACTTTTTGTGGTTTACAAACAACTACAAGGAATAGAAGTGTTACAATGATAGAAATGGAACGTCTTTTAGCTGTGTGGATTGATGATTGTAATAAAAAATGCATTCCTCTTAGCAGAGCTGCCATTCAGACAAAAGCCTCAAGTTTATTTAAAGCAGTGAAAGAAAATGGGAATGAGGTAGATAGTGAGGAAACCTTTTCTGCCAGTGGTGGTTGGTTTGACCGATTTAAAAATCGAGTTCATTTGCATCATGTTAAAATTACTGGAGAGATAGCCAGTGCAGACGAGAACATGGCAGCCAACTATCCCGATGTTTTGAAGAAAATAATTGGAGACGGTGGATACACTGATCAACCAATTTTTAATGTGGGTGGAACAGGCTTATTCTGGAAAAAGATTCCTTTCAGAACTTATATTTTTAAGAGAGAAAAAACTCAACCTGGATTTAAAGTATCTAATGATCACCTGACAATTTTTGAACAGCACGAATGTAGTCATAGTAATTCTAAAACAGGACAAGCTGTAGGAGTGCCTGAAGCTGCGGTGCAGAATATTATAAAACACACAAGTGAAGTACAAGAAAAAGACAATGTTGCATCAGCTTTTTGTGGTTTACAGACAACTACAAGGAATAGAAGTGTTACAATGATAGAAATGGAGCGTCCTTTAGCTGTATGGATTGAAGATTGCAATGATAAACACATTTCTCATAGCAAAACAGCTATGCAAACAAATGCTCCGAGTTTATTTAAGGTAGAGAAAGAAAATGGAAATGAAATAGATAGTGAAGAATCTTTTACTGCAAACAGTGGTTGCTTTGATCCCTTTAAAAATCAAAGTCAATTACATAATGTTAAAATTACCGAAAAGTCAGCTACTACAGATGAGAATATAGCAGCTAAATTTCCTGATATTTTAAAGAAGATAATTGAAGAAGGTGGATACACTGATCAACAAATTTTCAATGTGGATGAAACAGGTTTATTCTGGAAAAGGATGCCCTCCAGAACTTATATTTCTAAGAAAGAAAACACTCAACCTGGATTTAAAGTGTCTAGGGATCGCCTAACACTTTTACTAGGAGGTAATGCAGAAGGGGATTTTAAATTAAAACCAATGCTTGTTTACTGGTCCCGAAATCCTCATGCTCTGAGAGGCTACAACCAACAATCACTTCCAGTTCTTTGGAGGTCAAATAAGAAAGCATGGGTTACTAAAGCTATTTTTGAAGACTGGTTTTCAAGTTATTTTAGCCCAGCTGTCGAAAAATATTGCAAGGACAGCAACATTGCCTTTAAAGTATTATTGATTTTAGATAATGCTCCAGGTCATCCAACTACACTTGGTTCATTGTGTGAGAATATAAAAGTAATTTTTTTGCCACCAAACACAGCATCTTTATTGCAACCCATGAACCAAGGAACCATTGCAACATTTAAGGCCTACTACCTAAGAAAAATCTTTGAACAGGCAGTTGCAAAAACTACAGGTGATGAAGTAATGTCATTAACTGACTTCTGGGAAAATTATAACATCAGAGATGCAATTGAAAATATTCATCATGCTTGGCAACAAATAACTACAAACAACATGCGTGAAGTGTGGAAGTGCATTTTGCCACATTGTGCAAATAGTAATGTTGAAGGTTTTCCTTCTCAAAAGCAAGCTATTATAGAAGAAATAACAAACACAGGAAGAAAGCTTGGTTTTGATGAACTAGAAAGTGACAGTGTCCTAGAATTATTGGGATCGCACTCAGAAGAATTGACCGATGATGATTTTCTTCATTTAGATCAGCAACGAG